CCCCAAAACCCCAAAACCCCAAAGTGCAAAGATCAGATTGAAGATTGGAAAAAGTAAGCATTTTATTAAAAGCTTTTATTCTAGAAGAAGAAACCTAATTTATATACCATACTCTAATGTAATAATTAATTTAATTTGCTTAAAAATAATCCTTGATCAAAAGAATATTTAATCCTAAATCATCATCATCTGATTTTTTCCATTGGAGTCTAAAATTCTAAAAGTCTCAAAAAGTAATAAGATATCCTGGGTATGATTTTTGATTATCATAGATTACATAATGTCCACCGTTACCATTATTAAATGAATCATATAGAGCACCTTGCTTACCTGGTATAGCTGCAGGCAAACGAGCTCCCTATCCCCCACCTAAGGTAGAAGATAAGCCAGTTATGACAGTACACATAAATATTTACTTATCTTAATTGTTTTTGTAAGAATATTATGCAGAATATTAAGAGTTATCTGCGAAATATAAGCCTACCCCATTTGCTCCATCATTGCCATATCTCATATCTAAACCACTTTCAAATGAGTAGATATCTTTTGGATCTGTTTGCCTTGTACCATGGAATAAGTGTTTAATTAGATTTAGTCCAAACATTTAAGGATGCTTTTTCATTATTCTTTTCAGTTCACTTTTAATTGTCTGATAAATTTACTTATTATAGATCTTTTTGATTTCTTTTATGCTCGAAAGATCTACCTAAGATATTTCTTAGTTCATTATTTAGACAGTTCCTTAAACTTCATCTAATCTCTAGTCTCTACCAGTATATGTTTTTAAGAATTTAAATGCTGTATATTAGAACTCAAGGCTATCCTCGTCTAATATCTCAGTACAAGTAAAGTCGTTAATTTAGGTATATTTTTCGTCTAGGTTCTTAGGGAATTTAAATGTCTTGATTAGATGCCAATATTCCATATATTTGTCTTGGATAAAAGAATATGTAAATACATTTTTAGTAAAAGGATCTACTGCAAATGGCTTGCATTCAGGAGCAATACATCCATAAAGCTACTTCCTATCACCCCTAATAATCCATAATGTTTAATCAGCGTTTTGCTATTTACAATTATCATATATCTCGTTTAATATTGGATTAAAGCTTTCATCCTAAATTAGAATCAACTCATGAAATTCATCATTTATAAAATACTGCCATTATCTCGGACCCAATACCTCAATTTCTAGCTCAGGTTAACGAGACTATGGTATTTAAATATCAATATAGATTGAGTTATCTCTATCATGATCTAATTACTCGACAATAATAACTCTTAATTTGTCTTATTCTATACAAAAGTAGAAATTAGATTAAATCTCATTTTGTTGTTTTAAAATTGTAACCTTTACCTAAGTTTGTAATGAGAAATCAAAGTATTGTTTAGAAGTCAAATACTTTTAATAGTGATGATTGATAAGGGCATGCTTATCTCCACCAAAGCATAAGTACTTAATATTATTATCTTGAATATAAAATAGATCTGGCATATCTTATATTTTAAACTTATCATCTATCGGACCTTAGATAGTTGCAAGACCTATATATTAAAACCTCACATAAGATTAATTAATCGTATAAATCTTATCTAATTTTCCATTCTAAATTTTAATTTCTTTCTCTTCCTCTAAAAATTTAGCTGGATTACCTTTATCTTAGTTATCTTATTCACTTTCACTTGGAGCCTGAATTTACAGATTACTTAAATTTTTTAGAAATTAGTTTGGTAAGCTATCATTTGAAGCTTTACTATTTAACTTGACAGGTTTCTAAGAATATTTGAAGCCTTTACCAGTATTTGAATGCCATTCATACCATTCAAGTATCAATGCTAATCCATTAAATGAATTTCTAAGATATTGCATAGACTAAGAAGCATTTTTGCCAATTCTATTTAGCTAGACCACTTCATCTCTTAGATCCTCAATAAATCTTTATTTGAATTGATCTACTCCGAAGACCTCATAGTTATTACTTATCAAAAACTCCCACATTTCACTTAGTATAAATTCCTCTATATCTTCCATATCAACAAAATTAATATATTCTTTTTAATTCTTTATTCAGAGATATTAATTGAAATAACAGATATCTAGCTTAGCGGGGTTTTGGGGTTTTGGGGTTTTGGGG